AATGAAATGTCACGTGACTGCAATGCTCCAGGAATTTTGAAATTTTAAATGTTATATAGCTGAGGTTAGTTAGTCAATTAATTAATTAATTATAACCAGATGGTGACTTTGGGGTCTGATGTCGTTTCTATGGCGTATCGTTCTGTGTTGCTCTTTTCTGAGAGCTTTATTTCTGAGACTCTGGGTCATGGTTGTTAATGAAATTATACGGTGTCAGAAGCAGTTCCTGGTGTAACTGCCAGGCTCCTAGAAGCACAGGGAGAGGGGGGAAGGTCACCCATCCCAGACAACTTGTGAGCCTGGAGTTTTCAGTCACAAGTCCAGCATACCTGGGTTTTTTAGCAGATTTGCTCATGGGTGAGGCTCAACTGAGCCTGTGAAGTATCCAGATGTCTTACTAATATTTTTAGAATTTTGAAAATTCTAGTTTCAAGTTCTTGAGTTCTCTTTTCACTAAACATGCATTTTAAGCCCGAGAAATGGCTGTATACCAATATAGAAGAGTGCGAGTCCTCTTGTGATGAAGGTTCTTCTGGTGGTCTTTCAGAAGGCCCTGTGTAGCAGGAACTTGTCAGAGAAATGAATACATGGATAAATATCTAGAAGGGATAAAAGACTTGAAAAATTGTGTGATCAAAGTTTTGAAACATATCAGTATTTCCTTCTGCTTAAAAATTGCTTTTACTCTGGCATGAGTTAACTTGCATTGCATTTCACTTGTGGGAATGGTTGTTTGGATAAATGCCCAGGTACCTGTCAACTCTCGTTGTGAAGTTGAAATAATCAATGAAGAAGTTATTAAGTCAAAGCTTTGATGAAATAGCTTTTTGTGCTCTTCCTTCTTTCTGCCACTCCAGTATGGACTCTCCCTAACCAGAAAATAGAAAATAGCTGCAAGCGTCAGACATGCATTGTGTCTCCTCTCTATTTGATCTATTTGATCTTCCTACTTTATGTAAACACTGTGGTTTACAGAGTTGTTGTTCGTGATGACTTGCTACAGGCACCCACAATCCCACCACCACTGTCACCTTCCCTCCACCATTTTCTCAGTGGTCCCCTGTAGTCGGCCCACAGTGATTTATTTCATATTACTTGTTACCAGCAAATGGCTAATGGGTTGATCAAAACACACTTCAGTAAAAGAAAATTTGCGAAAATTATTGTATCTCACCATGGGCACATTAAGTCCTTCTCTGAGGGTTTACTAAGATGTTGTTGCTAGTTGAGCCTTCTGTGTTAATGTTTTTGTTAGTTGAGATTCGTTGGCTTCTATGTTCCATTCCTATCCAATCTGTGGCTCCTGCTAGGATGTTAGTATTGTAGAGTTCGGAGATGTTGTGTGGCCACATATATGGTCATGTGCCCAGAAAATCCAGAATATTTAATTGGGCAGTCTGGCCAGAGGCATGGTGGCAGCTTTGGGGTGTGAGTGTGGCGGCTGGGATTTTGGTCAGGATGGAACTTGGCCCACCCCACTTCTGAAGTTGCCCCTGAGGTCTCAGCTTGGACCAGGTATCCAAGAAATTTTTGTGGGCTACCTGATCATTGAGGAAATTTTAAACTTTGGGGCTTTCATTTCCTACAGGCAAGGAACATTAAGGTTTGGATCTCTTTTCTCTTATTCTGCCTAGCCAAAACCTTAGCAAACTTGGTAGCATGGTATTTTTATAGAGTATTTATTTGTAACATGTATCTGGGTATTTGAAAAGAATGCCATGATTGACGATTTTTTAAGTTTTTGAACACTCTGAGAGAGGAGAGAAGAGGGGGGAGAGAGGGAGGGAGGGAGGGAGGGAGGGGAAGGAGGGAGGGAGGGGAAGGGAAGGAGAGAAGGACAGGGAAGGAGGGAGGGAGGGAAGTCAGGAATAGAACTTGTCACCTCAAACAAGCAGTCAAGTCAAATCAAGCATTCTGTTTCTGAGCTACCTCCCTGGCCCTTTTTCAATCACTTTTGATAATTGAATTAAATCCAAGGGCTCTTAAGATATAAAAATGGACATTACTCATCTGTGTGGACTGTGATGTCATGCTTAACTAGCAGGATGATGTTCTGATTAAAAGGGTATAAATTATCGGCATCAGCCTTGTTCTAACGAGATAGCCTTTGTTATTAAGAGGTGCTGTTCATATAGATCAGAGGTTGACCTGTTACCTTCTTTTCAGAATAAAAAGATTACTCAGCATCTGGGAAATGTACTCTGTTTTAAAGTCCTGTGATGCCAGGAGCTTTCAGCATTTCTGAGGGCTGGGGGATGGAGATTGGGATGGGAAGTGGAGATATTACTTTTGGAAACACTGACACTGATGAATCGATATCTTCAGTGTTCCCTGCCTCAGAAGGATTTCTATTGTGAATTTATGGATTCCTTTTATCTTGAGTAGTATTGGTACAGGAGGGCCAGTCAAGCTATTATATTTGCTTGCTAGACATAAAAATAATTTTTGAGCCATTTTTATGATTGCCTTCCAAGCAGATCTTGACTGGCAGTGACCTTTGCTCTCACCAGTTTTTTTCTTAAGTTATTCTGTTATTTTTAATACACAAGATTGTTTCTTCATTATTTATCCGATCAGCGTATCTATTAGGAACTTTCTTCTTCTAACAATTCCTAAAATCGATCCAGAGCAGTGATCTTTAGGATCTAAAGGTATAACATATAACATGGGACAGTTTTTAAGATAGAATATTATTTTAAAGATGTTTATTACTTTAAAATATTCTTACCTTCCCCATTCTAAAAACAGCTATATTTTAGAATGAGAAGGTTTAGTAGTGGTCTTTTCTTGTATAAAATAATTCAAACGATCAAGTAAATTGTCCAATATGGCATCTGTCTATTTACTCATTCTACTATCCATTCAGTAGCTTATCTAACGAGAAGAGCCCAATTGAGAGAGAGACTGAATCAAAGAAATAACTGATTACCCTCAAGAAACTTTGTTGAACTTACCAAAGGCCATAAATGGTCATTGAGAATATGAATGACAACCTAAATAAAGGCACTGCTTGAAGTTATTTTTTCATCACTTGGTTACTTTCGTGTACTGTTCACTGGAAAGATATTTCTAAAATTTAAGTAAAACTCAGAGGCAAATACAAATAACCCAAAGGAAAACTTGCTTGTTCTGGTAAATTATAGTTGTGCCCTGCTAGCACATTTCTCTAGAGCGTAGTGTAGTAGAACCAGAAATCAGAGAATTGACCCCAAATCAGGAGATTTAGTAAATCTTTTCTTTTCAGAGTATTATTTATTTATTGCTTTTTGGGTCACACCTGGTGATGCTCAGGGGTTACTCCTGGCTTTGCACTCAGGAGTTACTCCTGGTGGTGCTCGGGGGACCCTATGGGATGCTGGGAATCAAACCTGGGTCGGCTGCATGCAAGGCAAACGCCCTACCCGCTGTGCTATTGCTCCAGCCCCAGAGTATTATTTATTATTAATTATTGTAGACCTCTTTGCCAACTGATGACGACTAACTAGTCCAGACTGACTAGCTAGTCAGCGTGGAGGAATCGAACCTGGTCCAACCGGGTCAGTCACTTGAATAATAGTTTATGCAGAGATTTTTAGTTCACCTTTGCTTTTCATTATTTTTTCTTTTTTTGTTTTTAACCTCCGAACATATTTTTAGTAGTGTTTTAGGGGTAGAGTTCTGGAGTTAGAATTGATTTTTTGTTGTTGTTTTGTTTGGGGAATCATTTCTGGTGGTGTTTGGGGTTTACACCTGGCTCTATGCTTAGGATCACTTTTGGGGTGATCCAAAAATCCAATCCAGGCAGTGACTTTTTGGTTTGGGGACCACATCTTACAGTTTTCAGGAACTTCTCCCACCTCTGATTTCAGGAATGCTCCTGGTGGTGCTCAGGGAACCATGTGATACCAGAGATCAAGCCTGGGCCTCCTGCATGCAAAGCAGGAGGTCTGTCTCTGGCCCCCTTATTTGTATAGAATAGAAACCCATTCATGGCTTGAACTAAGCTACAGGATGGGGCATTCTTCACCATTTTAAAACGATAAACATAGGTCAGTTTTTTGTCTCACTAGTACCAGACATATGTTAGAGAATTGTACACACATTTGAGCAAATAACCTGGAGGATTTGGGCAACATTTGGAGGTGTTCAGGGCTGCTCATCTGTGATCTGGAGGATTAGAATTCAGGTCAGCAGGATGCAAGGCAAGTGTCTTAACTGTACTATCTCTCCAGCTCATCAACCAACACTTTTTTTAGAAAATGAATGTGAATATAATATAATGCACATGAAAGTGTGAGTACAGCAAGCAAGCAATTTCATTGAAGATGCTCGCTGCATAGAGAAAGGATACTACAAAATCTAACTTAGCAGTCGCATTTAAGAGGTGCTCTCCCTCGCCTCCTCACTTACTCTCTAGATGTTTCTTTCTCATTCTCCCTTAATCCTTGGCATTTATGGTAACAGTTTGAAATTAGTCCCGTTTCTCATGGCTTTTTTTCCTTGTAGTTTCTCTCTCCATACCTGTCTTTCTTCACCTACCCTCTCTTTTCCCTTCCCTAGCCTCTTTTCTTAGACATTTATTACATGTATGTGTGACTGTCCCCATGTGTAAATTTCTTTTTTTTTCTGATTCCTTCCAAACAGTGCTCCAGGGTTATCCCAGCGATACTCAGTCAGTTGTGCTCAAGATTCAAATTTGTGCCCAGAGGTGTTATACCTGATGGTTCTGGGAGAAGGTCATGCCTAGCGGGGGATTGATCGCAGGTCCTAGTATAAGCAAGACATGCACCCCGGGCCCACAAGCTACCTCCCTGGCTACTCTCTCGATAGAAACCTTTTCCCCTCCATTTTTCCCTATTCTGGCTCGAAACTGAAGTTTTGCAGGCAGTTTCAAAAACCTTAGCATGAAGTTATTTCCACAGAACGCACCACTGACAGATGCTACTGAGTGACCTGGTTCCAACTGAAAATGATTTTTATTGCAATTCTATTTTTTTTTTCTGAATTGTCTTTTTCCTCAGATCGAAAACCTTCAAGAGCAACTTAGAGATAAGGAAAAGCAGATGAGCAGTTTGAAAGAGCGCGTGAAATCCTTGCAGGCCGACACCACCAACACCGACACTGCCTTGACAACTCTGGAGGAGGCTCTTGCCGAGAAAGTGAGTGGCTGCCCCAGACTCTTCCAGACACGATTCTTCTGCTTTCTCTTTGATCTACACTTTCTCGTGGAGAAGAGGCTAGGGCACAGAAGCAGGAATCCCTGAGGGCAGAAGAGAAAGGAGGCCTCTGCACTTTACTGACGTGCCAAGTTTGAGGGGAGAGGAAATTCATTTCGTTGCCCATTTAGGCTACTGTGGCTGGGCCAGGTGGATTCTGCACCAGAGGGCAGTGGCTGAAATCCTAAAGCACCAGCTGTGTGCTCCCCGTCTACTTTCTTTTTCTTATAAGAAAAGTCATTTAGTTCTTGGGTCATCTGGAGTTGGGAGGGTTTGGAAGGTCAGGCCTCAACTATCTGGAAGTGGTATCTAGTTAGTTCCCCATTGCTATGCCTCATTGGTAACTGAACCATTCATTAATTTTAGTTACGCTTGCAGGACACTTGCCAGTTTTCAAGTCTTGGCCAGTTTGCTTCATTTTGGACCTTTATGAGCAAACCTAATTTTAAAGGAATTTTTGGCTAAATTAGAGTGGCTTAATATGGCAAGTTTTTCTGTCTTAGAAGGATTTTTAAGGAATAAAGATATTTTCATTTAAATATCTAAAAACGTTTTGTTGAGGTTTGCAGTAATATTAAAGTCATTATTTTATAGTTTGCAAAGTACTCTACCCGTCCTTCCACAGATGTTAATGCCTTTGAAGGATGTTTAAGGAATCTTGGGGCACACTTCTAAAGGAATAGGGTCAGTGTTCCTTATTGGCCTCTTAGACTCAGAGTGCTTCAGGCTGCCTGCCAGGGATCAACATTTGATGGCTGACTATGCTCAGAAGTACTGGGGGATATGGTTAAGATGCTGCAACTTTCAAGCTTCCTGAGTATCAATTGAGAGAAACAAGTTTTACTGGCTTCTTTTTTTGTTTAGTGTTTTTAATGGGTTAGTCTCAGTGTACTCATAATTCCCAGAACTCTTCCCTGTTGATGTATAATTGAATTATGAATTATTTCCATTACTTTGTGAGAAACATGTGAATTATATTTAAAGAATCTATTGTTATTTATTATTCTCAGGTGTGGGGATTATGTCTCAGTTTTTTTTTTTTAACTTTGGAGTTAGATGGAGTTATTCCAAAAGAATACTTTAGTAGTAGCTAATACAAGTTGAAATTATGGGAGAAGAAATGTAAGGGATACAGAAACCACCTAGATTATTGTTATAGCAAGGTTAAGTGGGAAGGATGGGTTCTTTTTGAAAAGAAGTTAATTATTAACAACACTACCATATTGTGGATGGTAGATGCAGGAGTGAAATTTGTCAGCCGAGAGCTGAGTATGAAATCAGAGATTTTCTTACATAAGGATTTTCTTGGTTATCAGGAGCGGACCATCGAGCGCTTAAAGGAACAGCGAGACAGAGATGAGCGAGAGAAGCAAGAGGAAATTGATAACTACAAGAAAGATCTTAAGGATTTGAAAGAAAAAGTCAGCCTTTTGCAAGGAGACCTTTCAGAGAAAGAGGTTAAGCTTGCCAACATCAAATTATTTGGTTTTCTTAGTGCATTTTATTTTATTTATTTATTTTTGTTTTTTGGGTCACACCCAACAATGCACAGGGGTTATTCTTGGCTTTGCACTTAGGAGTTACTCCTGGCAGTGCTCAGGGGACCATTTGAGATGCTGGAAATTGAACCCCGGGTCAGCCGCGTGCAAGGCAAACACCCTACCCACTATGTTATCACTCCAGCCCCTGTACTGCATTTTAAAAAGAGATGAGATTTAAAAAATTCCCTTGTAACAGGAAACATAGGACAGTCCTAAAGAGTATTTCTAGAAGCTTTGCATAGAGGCATAGTAGATGGATCATTCATTTTCATTTCTTATTTCTGTTGGTGAGAGTCCACTTCTTAATAATGTTTTTAAATAAAGGCCCTCCCGTTGATCGTCGATTTGCTCGAGCGGGCCCAGTAACGTCTCCATTGGAGACTTTGTTGTTACTGTGTCTGGCATATCCAATACTCTCGGTAGCTTGCCGGGCTCTCCGAGAGGGGCAGAGGAATCGAACTCGGGTCGGCCATGTTGGCCGCTTGTAAGGCGAACACCCTAGCCGCTGTGCTATCGCTCCAGCCCATAATAAAAACATAAATAATGTTTTTAGAGATCCTAAAAAACCTGAAACCAGTTTTATATTTACAGTAATTGTACTCATGGTTAAGAGTGGCGAAAGATAAGAAGAAGATTCTGCAAAAGAGGAAAAATTGTATAAGCCCTTTAAGTTCATTTCAGCATTTACTCTTAAAGTTTATTTCAGTGTTCACAGAAAAATCTTAAATTGTTCTTTTTTTTTCCTGGACCTTCCGACCGGAGCTTAGGGAATACCCTGAAGCCCACTTTCTGCAATTGTTGGCTAGCTGAGCCATCCAGCTATTCAGTGGAGGACCTATGGATGCGTTGTTGCTTAGCCCTGTAGTGCTGGGAATGACCTGGACTCCCTGATGTTGCTCAGGGGCCTCCAGGGCCACATTCTGTCATGCTCAGGAGAACATGTGGTACTGGGGATAGTGCTGGGCTTACTCCCTGTACTGTCTCTCCAACCCTCTTAAGTCATTCCGGACCAATTAGGTGACCTCATATACTTTGACTCTGCCATTAAAGATACCCTGTTAATGTGGAAGTAAATATCAAAAATACCCAGTGCATCGTGATCAGCTAGTGATGGATTTTCTTTCTGCTCTCTTAGGAAAACTTGTTGAAATTTAAGTTTTTAGTAGATTTTTTTTTAGTAGATTTTTTTCTCTGAAAGGTAAAGGTGTTTTATATTTAAGTCAGTGCAGCTACTGCAGCTGTGAAAGTTGACTACTTAAATTGGCAAAGTTTTTCTATGTCCATGTATTTTTTTGAGAATGGAAATCTATTGCTAGAACTCTAAAGTGGCATTTCTCAATTTTTTTCAGATGTGGCTCCTTTTCAGCCTTCTTTCCTTCTTATGACCCTGTGCCCTACTGGTTGAACCCTTAGTCTGGGGCTGTATGGCCTTTGGTTAAGAAACACTGCTCTAAATTAGTACTCTATTCATCACTGTCACTGTCATTGTCCTCCTGTTGTTTATCGATTTGCTCGAGCGGGCCCAGTAGTGCAGCGGGTAGGGCGTTTGCCTTGCAAGTGGCCAACCCAGGTTTGATTCCTCCACCCCTCTCACAGAGCCTGGCAAGCTACTGAGAGTACCTCGCCCGCACAGCCAAGTCTGGCAAGCTACCCATGACATATTTGATATGCCAAACACAGAAGCAAGTGTCACTCTATTCATACCTTTTAAAAATTAATATACTGGATATTATCTTATTTTAAGTTAATACTTGAAAACTAAACTGATAGTTTTTATTTCATCCATGTTCTGAAGATGGAAATATGCCAATATATTAACAGAAAAAAAACACGATAATAAATAATTTAAAATTTGCATTTTGCTATATAGTTAGCATTTATTTTAGATGCATTTTCCTTCTTTTAGACTTCTCTCTTGGATCTGAAAGAACATGCTTCTTCCCTGGCTTCCTCAGGACTGAAAAAGGACTCCAGGCTTAAGACACTAGAGATTGCTTTGGAGCAGAAGAAGGAGGAGTGTCTGAAAATGGAATCACAGTTGAAAAAGGTTAAAGGGAAAAATGTCAATTCTTTTGCTTTGCTTTAAATATGAAATTTATTTAAAGCAGAAAGTTACACAGTTTTCATGTGGGAATAAATTAATTTGGAGTAGTAATCTTGTAATAGTCAAAATACCACTCAATTAATCAGTTCTGTAAGGATTCTTAGCTCATCTCATTTTACTCCTGTTCACTCCTAAGCTCTTTAGAAAATGGGAGAGTTTCAAAAAAATTAAAATGTATAGCTCCAAAAAAGGAATGTCCTGACACAGAGGTGGGGTGGGGTGGGGGGGATGGGGTGGGTGGTGGGAGGGCTACTGGGATCACTGGTGGTGGAGAATGGGCATTGGTGGAGGGATGGGTACTGGATCATTGTATAACTGAAACCCAAGCACGAAAGTTTGTAAGTCTAAACTGTACCTCATGGTGTTTCACTAATTAAAAAAAAAGTGTATAGCTCCATTGGGTGAAAAAAAGATTTGTAATATTGACACAATGTAAAAACATCAATATCTGATTTTTTTTCTGTATATATCAGACTTCCTAACAAGAGATAGTAGTGGAAAATAATAGGGTATGGTAAAGATATTTACTATCCATTTCTTTGATTTATATATAATTTTTCATGGAAATTTGTAATTTATAAAGATTTTCATGTCTTCTCAGAAATATCAGCAGTAGATTTTTTTGGTTTTGTTTTGCATCACACCCAGTGATGCTCAGGACTTACTCCTGGCTCTGCACTCGGGGATCACTATGGGTAGGCTTGGGGGACCATGGGGTGCCGGGGAATCAAACTTGAGTTGGCCACATGGAAGGCAAGCAACCTGCCTGCCTTGCTGTCATTCTGGCTTTCAGAGATAGCAAAAGCCTGTGAATCAGAACCAAAACTGCTGAGCATTATATTAATTAGTTGCATTTTGTATGATTGCTAATGAAAATGGAGTTTATTTCAGTCTTGAGATACTTGATATTCTTGAAATAAATACTACTATTTCCTTTTCTTTGGATATATATGCATATTATATACAAACATTATATATATTTAGAAGTGTATTGAATTTATACTTTTATAATGAATCTGCAAGTGTATTGAATATGTACTTTTATAATAAATCTGCATTTAGAGTATGCCAAAAATAACATTAAGCTAAGAAAAGGGAAGAAAAAATCCAGTATCTTAAAGTTACTTTAGAATAAATGAAAAAATAATTTTTGAAGATTAAGGATTCTAGTTATAATCAATTCATATTGATAGTTGGCATTTTTTCTCATTAAAAATGTGAGATCATTTTCTGGTAAATATGTGAGTATTGAAGGTAGATGTATTTAGAATTATGAAACTAAAAGTCAGTTCTTACAGATGATATTATTTATTATCATTATTTTTTTTTGCTTGTTGGGGTCACACCCAGTGACGCACAGGGGTTTTACTCCTGGCTCTGCACTCAGGAATTACTTCTGGCGGTGCTGGGCGACCATATGGAATGCTGGGAATCGAACCTGGGTTGACCATGTGCAAGGCAAACGCCCTGCCCGCCGTGATATATTGTTCCAGCCCCTGATATTATTTATTAATATTTTAAACTCCCCTGCTTATGAAAATCCCGCATTTCCTTTTTGTTCATTTCATCATAATGATACTGCTTCTAGCTGTCATTTACAAGGGTTCTTATATTTTAGCTTTTATATTTAGACTTGGGAGAAAACTAGTAAGAACTCTTCTATTAAGAATCTAAGATTAAAAAAAAAACAATCTAAGTATTTCTCCATGTGTTACTAATTATTTGTCTGTAATTTTGTTGGTTTTTGAGCCACACCTAGCATACTCAGGGGCTATTCATGGTTTTATGCCCATAAATGACTCCTGGTAGTGCCCTTCCTCCCTCCCCCTGACCCCTCCAGCCCTAAAGAAGAAACTTTTCATGGCGGAGTAGTTTGGGCCAGACCCAGGGCACTCAGGGACTGTTTTCATCTCTGAGGCAACCCCCTTCCCTGGCAGTGCTTAAAGCCTCATGTGCTACAGGGGTCAGCTACTTGGAGGCAAGCACTTACTTCCTGTACTCTCTCTCTAGCCCTCTTTTTCATAGGGTAAAAACTTATAAATTAGAGACTCCCTTCTGAATATTTGTTAATGCCTTATTTTAATTGAAAGACAGGCCATTTTTTGGACATGGTTTGCCCACTGCTACATTATATGTGTAATAGAATTTGAACACATTTCTTTGTCAGGCACATGAGGCAACATTGGAAGCTAGAGCCAGTCCAGAGATGAGTGACCGGATACAGCAGTTGGAGAGAGAGATTGCCAGGTACAAAGATGAATCTAGCAAGGCCCAGGCAGAAGTTGACCGCCTCTTGGAAATTTTGAAGGAGGTAGAAAATGAGAAGAATGACAAGGATAAGAAGATTGCTGAGTTAGAAAGGTAAGGGGGAAAAAAGCCAAAAAGGGTCAGAGTATATAAGAATTGCTTAGATACATTTTAAAATACTAAATAGTTTGGGGAGATAACTGTTTCGGTTTATCTGCCTCTCTGAATTTAGGTTCTTAAGTGCCTGCTGTTAGTTTGTTATATCTGTCTTTCATTCTGAATCAGTATCAATTAATTGTTATCTCTGAAAGGCAGCATAGAATGGGATACATTGGAAAGCCCAGACAACATCAACATTGGAAAGTATTTATTGATTAACAAGCAAAGTTTTCTCTGCTGATGTGAGATTTTCAGATGGCTACATGCTTTTTCCCTCATTGATGTATTGAATGAGCAAATGAGCCTCAGTTCAAGGAGTTCACGTTCCTTCACTGGATTATATATTTTTTTCTGACCGATAATTTCTTTGAACTATAAAAATTTAGGTTTTTCAGATTGTGTGTTATGTAGAGACAGGTTTTAAGTGCACCAGTGCTTCGGTCAAATGTAGAAGGAGGAACATTTGAAAACAATTCAAGAGTCTTAGATCTGATTTTCATGGACCTTGGCTTGAATTCTTCAAAATGAACTGTGAACAGGTTCTTTTCTCTTCAAACTACGTTTGCCATTTTTTCTTATTAGATCATTCTATCCCTAAGATTAAGCATGTGCCCCATGACCTCTTCTTTTATACGATATACTAAATGTAAATTCACAGATGTCTTAAAACCGTTCCTCCAGTAGAACTTTAGTAAGCTGTCATATTCTGAACAAACATGGACAGCGACAGAATAAAGTCACTAACGTCTGAGGCTTCTTGGAGACTTGTTCTTGGGGATGTTTCATTTTCACGTTCTTGATGGTTGGAAAGTATTGTTCGACAGCTTTTGTTAAGTTTTTCGTTGATAGTTAGCCTTGTGGTGCTTGGACCCCGCAGTGCTGGTGGCCATCAGGGCCCTATCATACAGCACTGGGGATCGAACCCAGGGCCTCCACATGCCAGGTATGTGCTTTGGCCCGATGAGCAATCTTCTGGCTCCCTGAAGTTTTCTTTTCCTGCCATGTTTTGTGCCCACAGAATTTTGATTTTCAAGAACGTAGAACAATAATGTGGGACCTTCGTTCTTTTCCTTCACTCCACTGACAGTGTAACCTGAGTTGAGTGTCTGCTCATTAGTTTCCCCCTATTTTAATATCAACTCTATTCTCATTTTCTTGTTCTGGGTGTGATGACAGATAAAATTATGCCAGAAGTAACACATTGCTAGTGTCTAAATTAGATTCTATTAATTTTTTTTTGTTCTTTTTTTTTTAATTACATTGCAATGTGCAGGCTGTGATTCCTGGCTCTGCTCTCAGGAATCACTCCTGGTGGTGCTCAGGGGACCATATGGGATGCCCGGGATTGAACCTGGGTCAGCCACCTGCAAGGCAAGCTCCTTACCTGCTTTATTATCTCCCCAGCCCCCGATTATGTTAATTTTTATATGGTTTCTTTCATTTTTATATAGACTATCACCCACCACATACACATCCCCTCCCCACAACACATCTCATTATAGATTCATTTGCAGAGATGCCAATTTGTTTTGGGGGGGATGCTGATTTCAAGATTAGTAGCAGTATTGACTATAAAGTTTACAATGCCACATGTTTGTTGGATTGGTGACTTGCTGTTAAATCAGTGGAGAAAATCCTTCATAAAATTTTATTTTTAGATTAAATTTATTTTTGTTCTGGGGATTGAACTCAGTGCTTCTTACATGTAAGGCATGTGCTTTACCACTGAACTATGACCCTGGCCTGGGTTTAATTTCATGTATTAGAAATATACATAGAAATTATTGCTTGCTAATTTCATTTAATTAAAATGTTCTAGTTTGTTTTTGATCTTTGAAGATGGATGTGATTTGAAAGAGTATTAAATAGGATTACATTTAATTTCATATTCAGTGCATGCCAAATAGCTTTTATTAAACATTATACTTCTTTCATTTTGAGAAAAGCTTGCAAATGCTTTCTTGTTCTATAAAATGTAACTTATAATTTTAAAAAACTACATTCCAAAGGATTGTTCTCTGCTCGTTTAGCTTTGTTTATTTTGTTTTGGGATTTGATAGAAAGCTTCTGGTTATCAAAATCTAACAGTTCTTAACAGTCAGTGTTTTGGGCACTGTAGTTTATTTAACCTGAACTAAGAAACTTAGAGCAGTTGAAATTCTAAATCTGGAATTAGATCATGCCTTATGTTCCCATGTGTAGTAGAAAAGTGCATGTGTGTGGCTGCTCTGTTTCTTACTAACCATTTGCTCTTGTGTTGCCATTCCACTCTTTCCTGTGTGTCGGTGTTTGTCTACCTGTGATTTATCATTTGAGTTTCTCCACCGTTCCTTCGATTTCTTTGATCACTGTCCTATTCCATTGGGGTTTTGGGTCTCTCTGTGTCTACATGTGTCCCCCTTTTGGTCATGCTGTTCCTCAGAAAGCCCGTCTCCCGCAGTCTGTGCCTTCCACACCAGATTTCTGTCCCTGCACCATCAGGGGGGTTTGTTTGGGACTTCCTGGGAAAGTGAGTGTTCCATACGGCTGTTGTTCTATCTTAGACTGAAATGCTATGCTGCTTTTGCTGTTGCTGAGGCTTGCTGGGAATTGTGCTTGATCAGAATTAAAGAACAGCCGGGTAGGTCACATTGAACCATACCTTTTAGAGACATTATTTGTGGAAAGAACATGTCATCTCTATAGTAAGATTTGGATTTTATTGGTTATAACTGTCAGCCTTTACTTATTGTCCTCATTCTAAGTGGTGGTTGCTAACTCAAGTGCTCTTTACAGTTACTTAGCCTCTGAAGCTGTACTGCCACTCTGTAATTTAGGCTATGCATTAGACACCTTTGTTTGTTTTAATAAGGTGTCTACAACCGTCTAAAGGCAAAAGTTAAAAACAAAATAATTGAACTAAAGAAAATTCTTAGTATTCTTTGCAGATTTCCTAGTGTTTCTCATGTAAGGATATCTGGTACGGAAAGACTTGGATTCAATCATGCACAACTAATTCCTAGACGTTCGGCTGGTCTTGACAACAGCAGTATCTTTTACATTGCTTAGATGGAGCAATGGCAGTTCCTATTTGAAAGTGATTTTGTGTTGCATCACTGTCTTGGCCTGGTGCAATTTTAAAGAAGAAAGTATGCAAATCCACCTTACAGCCACAAGTTAGTAAGCATTTGTGCCAGTTACATCTTAATAGGGCTGGAGTGATAGCACAGCGGTAGGGCATTTGCCTTGCACACAGCCAACATCGCCGACCCGAGTTCGATTCCTCCGCCCCTCTCAGAGAGCCCGGCAAGCTACCGAGAGTGTCACGCCCGCACGGCAGAGCCTGGCAAGCTACCCGTGATGTATTCGACATGCCAAACACAGTAACAACAGGTCTCATGATAGAGACATTACTGGGCCCGCTCGAGAAAATCGATGAACAACGGGGTGACAGTGACATCTTAATAAATAATATTCTTAGCATTCAGTTAGAGAGGCAGAGCCAGTATGATTCTGGGGTCTGGCCAAGCGGGTCTGAAATCTGGACAACAAGCTGTCAAAAAGAAACTGCCATCCAGATTGAATTCTGGTGAGCATTTGCCAAAAATGGGGTCCACAGGTGGGATTTTTTTCTTGTCTGGGGACACCTTAACCCTGCTTTTAGTGCCTTTCAGTGGATTCAGTTTGTCCATGCTGATTATCTGAGATAATCTCCTTTACTTAAATGGATCAGAGGCTTTAATTACATCTGCAAAATACCATCTCGGAGCATCTAGGTTAGTATTCAGTTAAGTAACTGGGCTCTAGAGCCTAGCAAGTGGATACTTCAAGAAAACCGTTAATGGTTGGTTCAGAATAGTCTTTCTAGATTATGGAAAAACTCACAAGTGAGCAAACCCAGCGTTACACGTCTTCGTGAAAGCAGATTGATTTGTTTTAGTCTTAGGAACTATGAGTGTAATTGAGAATTTCTCTTCTAAAGTGAGCCTATCAGAGTCTGTTTAGATTCATCACCAGGACTGTCTTTGACATTGTATTTTTGAAATACTTAGAAAGGACTAGAATAGACCGAGTCTTTTGTATCTACTCAGCGTGCTGAGTGAGTCGCTTGGTGTCCCCTTGTTCATTCTATTCTGAATACTGTGTCATGGCAGTATGTTGGGAGTATACTTGGCAGTGCCAAGTATGCCAAGCCATGTTTTATATTTGCTTTATAACTTTTTCTTTGCTTTCCTACCTTTCCCTAATACAGAAATTGTAATGAATCTTCTGATTTGTTTATAGGAGAAATCCTCATTTTAATATGAAGTTCATTAAGTTGATTTAATGTAACATGAAAGTGTACAAACTGAAATTTGGAGATGGGAACCATTTTCTGATTTTCACATAACTTAGGAACCAGGAGAGCCTTTGGTCTTTATTTTTTTGGTTTTCGAGCCACATCCAGTGGTGCTCAGGGCTTCCTCCTGGCTCTACTCAGAAGTCCCTCCCTGGCATGGCTTGGAGGGGCTTATATGTGTTGCCTTGGATTCAACTCAAGTTGGCTGTTTGCAAGGCAAGCACATTATTTGCTGTAGTATCGCTTTGGTATAGTTTTGCTTTGGTGTGGTATCACTTTGGTTATCAAAATTAAGTATTTCCAGTGACCACAAATATAATGAACTTGCTATTATGTAGCACTGTCCTCCCGTTGTTCACCGAGTTGCTCGAGCGGGCCCAGTAACATCTCCACTTTGAGACTTGTTGTTACTGTGTTTGGCATATTGAATATGTCACAGGGAGCTTGCCAGGCTTTGCCATGCAGGCGAGATACTCTCGGTAGCTTGCCGGGCTCTTCGAGAGCTATCATGTATTCCAAGAAATAATAGAAAATCAGATTTTACTACATTTCTTCGTTTGTGTGAATGTAAAAGCTGGGGTCTTAATGGAGATAGATTTTCTGTTACTTGCAGTTCAAGTAATTTAAGCTCTAGGTTGTTAGTCTCTGAATTAACTGCCTGATTATTACACAGTAATTTTGAACCTCATTTGAGTTAGTGAAAGGTCTATGTGCCTTGCCAGATTGAGAGCAATACATTGAACAGAGCTCCAAGTGGGGTCATTTTCTTTCCAGAAGTGAGATTCAGTCTGAGGGTGTTATTTGTGTGTGTATGCGTAACAGAAGGAATATTTCCAGTGATACTTGGGGAACGTTGCCAAGTTTAAACTTCATGGCTGAATGATACTGTCTTTTGAGTTGAGTTTTAAATATCTTTCGTTCTTTCAGTGAGCCTCAACTCCTTAGCTTTATAAGCATACTCAGGCAAGAATTAGGGGAATAATTTTCTAATATTCTTTGTAAACTTAAACTTCAGTTTCTTCTTTAAGCAAAGCAGGCTTTCCTGCTTGGATGGTTTCAGAACAGCGTCCTCCCCCCTCCCCATCTCCTCTTGTAACATTCAGCCTGGGTTGCCCAGTCAGTTAGAAAGCATGACACATTGTTTTTTGCACCTGTAGTGAAAACCTTAGCAGTGGATAGTTTTGAGTTTTTCATTTGCTTTTAAAGACTTTTTTTAGTTCCTGAAACTGTGTGATGAAAAAGGAGGTGTTTTTATTTCTCATAAATCTAATGTGTTGCAAGCTAGTTTGCACAATGATAATAATAACTTTGTGGCTCAGTAGTTTTAGAAAAGTTAACTTATTTTTTAAATCAGATTTCCAGATTGGAAAATAAGTACTTATTTTACTTTTTCTTTTCTCTTTGATTAAAATTTTCTTTCTCTTTATCTGGCCTTCTGACCCCTCGTAACTTTTACTTCTTTGGGAAAAATATGTTTACTGACCTTTTAATTTTTATGTTCATGCCTTTTATGTATTTCTCTTGTTTTTGTCTTATGTATTTGTATTTATTTTATAATTATACATATTTTTATTCTGTAAAAGCACAAGTGAACTTATGCATAAAATATTCTTATAATTTGGCATAATTCATGGGATATTTTTTGATCTTCAGATTTAACAAAAGTCTGGATTATTCTTTTGTCACAGTGAAATGTTGAATCGAGCTGTTGTTTTTATATTTTAACATAATGATGTGTCTTCTATTTTTGCTAAATTAATAACAAATATACATTTAAAAGACTGAATGGTTTCAGTAAATATGGGAGTGGAAGAAAATATTTTCAAATTAATTTTTTAACATATTTTATTTTAAAGGTGTTTCTGACAAAATTATTATATTTAACTCTTATACTTAGATATTTGACTAACTATATCTTGAAACTATATTTAGATTGGCCTAAAAATAATTTTTGAACCTTTTCATGGGAAAGAGGGACTTTATGTTTGTTACTACTTGTATCAGAGTATATTATACTATGGTATAGTATAGATCTAGAAATCTAAATCTGCATCTGTAGTTTTCATTTTTGTGAATCGCTTTCTGTAAAACAAATCCTGGATTGATACTCAGTTTAATGTCCTTGAATATCTTCCAAATGGAAATAACAAACTATATATAGTTCTGATATAAGCTAGTATACAGGTTTTTTTTTTTTGTGGTGTTGATGGGATTTATACCTAGCGATTATCAGGGGTTGGTTACTTCTTGGTCTGCAGTCTGGAATTAACTTCTGGCAGTGCTCGGGGAACCATATGGGGTGCCAGGGATAGAACCCAGGGCAGCTCTCCCTGCTGTCGTATCTCTCCAGCCCCTCAAGTGTAAGGTTCTTGAGGAAAATAATTCCCGGGTGAAGAATTTCCTTACCTTTGGATTAAATATCTTTAATCTTTGAAGTACAGGGGTAGGAATTAGTTTCTAATGTGGTGGAGAAAAAAAAGGAAAAGAAAGATGCAAGAGTATTATAACTGAAGAGGACCCGTTCTTTATCTGATCCTGCTTGCTTCAGCTTGCTTTATGAAGAATTTGGCTTGTTTCTTCTTTCACTGTGATAAATTTCACTGATTTTATTTCAAAGAATAATGCAGTGTTACGTGGCCACTTCTGTTAGATGATCTTCCCAGAGTTTCTTGTTGGCACAGCACCTCACACTTTATTATGGCCTTGATATGGTCTCTATTTAGTGGTTGCTTAAGATTTTTATGTAAAAGTGTGAACTAGAATTTTGTAGTTACTCTGTGAAATTTTGAATGCTCTTGTTGTTGTTGTTATTGTTTGTTTTCTTTGGGGGTCCACACCCAGCAGTGCTCAGGGCTTACTCCTGGCTCTGTTCTCAGGAATCATTCCTGATGTTCCCTGGGGACCTTATGTGGTTCTGGGAATCAACTGGGGTCAACTGTGTGCCAGGCACGTGCCTTTCCGCCCATGCTCTCTCTGAATCCTTTTTCTCCTAAGTCCCTAATAGATACAGTTCTATGCCAACATGAAATAGGACCTACAATAAAGTAGGTCAGAAAGTAATAACATTTGCTCAGTGTTGGCAGGAATAGCTTTTTAAAAAATTGGTTTAATGGTCTTACATACAGTCTTGCAATTCTAGGAGATTTCAGTTGGTGTCATTATTAACCAACAAAAGCTTTAAAAGATCATTGAGAACTGTCACTTGGAGATTGACCTCTTTTTATTTTCATATACTATTTTATGTATGCTGGAGATTAACGATCTTTTCTGATTCCCTTTAGAATATCTGTGTGTCGTGGAACATACAAGGAATACCAGCTGCTAGCTTAACATTCTTATCCTGGATCCATCCCTTATTTTCTGAGAGATAGTGTGGAAGTCATTCTGTTGTTCCTTTTCATCTTAGATAATGGGAGTAAAATAATCTTTCCCTCCTTCCCTTTGTTTTTGTGCTGCTGTTTATATTTTTGACCCACATCCAGTGGGACTCAGTTCTTACTACCGGCTCTGTGCTCAGGGATTACTCCTGGTTGTGCTCAGGACACTCTGTGTGGTACCAAAGGTTGGTCACATTCAAGGAAATGCGTCCTTTCTGTGAATCACACTTTACTCACTGTCCTACCTAGTTTCCCCAGCTTTAATGAAAGACTTAGACTTTTAAAAATTCTGCTTTTAAGTACTGAAACACTGGAGAACATTAAGTCACCAAGTGAAGTGGTGCTTGCTTTCAAGAAATAAACCCTCTTTAAGTATTTTTAAAGGAAAATTAGATCCCAAGGACAATCTGGGTGGCACTGGCTATGTATTTGGAGTACATACTAATTTCAGTGAAATTGATTGACTTTCCAAAAGGAAAACCTGCATGTTACTATGAAAAGCAATAATGAACCAGTGGAGTTTCAGATTGTATAGGGAATACTGAGCATGGCTAAACTGCATCTTTTAACTGCTGAACAGTGTTGGAAATGAATTGATATTTATAGAACTGTATTTTCTTGTTCATTATTGCTTTAGATTGCACCATTTGGGGTGGATTTTGTCAGATTTGAATAAGAAATAGGAATATAATTAGGGGAAAATACCATTTTCACAATTGAGAAAATTATTTCAAATTCTTCCAAATCAGAGTTCTGCATTCTATAGAATAACTGCAATTGTCAATATTATTTTGTTTTTACTCCTGGGTGACTTGAATCCAAGAAATGGAGTAGGATAAGAAAGAAGTAGTCAATTGTAAGTTGTGTATATATGAGACATGGTGTCAACTGTGTAAAAACAATTGTGAAAGTTGTGAAAAAACAATTAATTCCTTGAAAGATAAAGGGAGAGACAGTAAACTTCTTCCTTTGTCTTTTAAGAGCAGTTTGTTTTCTTGTCCCAGGAAATGACAAATTTCAGACAAAACATATTTTCTTTAGAAATTTGCATAATGGGAGATGGTGTAATCTAATATGAAAATTGACTTGTTGAGAGTTGAAAATCTTAAGATCGTAAGTTTTTAGTTTCTGTACAGACTCTGTTTGACTTCTTCCTCTTCTCTGATCCTGTGTTTTATGTTTTATTCTGTGTCTATGAATAATATTATAGAATATTATCCTTATTAATTCTTTCTAACTTTCTCTTTCACATTTTTCCTTCCTGGATTTGCTGTTTTCTTCAGTCTCACATCAAGGTCAGTATGCCTGTTGTAAAATAAAGATGCAATAGAACATTGTATACAAATGTTATCTTGAACTCTAATAAGGAACTGAAATGATGGAGTTATACCAGGAGGGTGCAGTTTAGAAATCAAGTTTCGAGTGCACATAATATTAGGAGTTTTAAGTTCACTAGAAGATTTTACTCAGCGCTCTGTGCTTCAAAAGATAGAGTAGTAAGAACCCAAGAATTAGACATGAAGGACAGTTGCCAAGTAATCTGTGTATTCGCATAAGAACTTTTCCCTTTTTTCATGGGTACAGATCTATTCCCACCTCTCCACATACACTTTATTTTCTGTTGAGAGTTTTTTTGTTTACTATTTTATAATATTTCGGATTTCAGGCCTAGTGTCATACCTTCATATGTGTGTGGTTGTCACTACTCACACCGTTACGATTCTAGTGACGGGATAGAGAGATTGTTCAGTAGGTAAGATGCTTGTCTTGCTTTTTTTAGGCTCAGGAGAGAAGGTGTGGGACGGAGCCAAGGTGGTTGTACCCAGCAATGCTCAGGGCTTACTTCTGGCTCTGCACTTAGGAATTATTCTTTGTGGGATCATATAGGATGCCAGGGATCGAACCTGGGTCAGCCGTACGCAAAAGAAATACCCTACCCACTGTGTTATCACCCTCATCCCAATGCTGCTTGCTTGCAGCTGATCTGGACTGATCCCAGCACCTTATGGGGTCTCCCAAGCCTGCCAGGAGTAATCCCTGAGTGCAGAGCTAGGAGTAAACATGGCATATCACTGGGGATAGCCCCAAAACAAAACCAACAGTTCCAGTTCCATCCCACTACCAAAAAGATGATTCTGCTCATTCCTTCCACCCATCTTATCTTTTTTCCTCTCTCATAGCTACTATAGTTTCCACAGAGCCTAGGTGTTACTTTTTTGTTTTGCTTTGTTTTCTTTGGGGGTTGTACCTGCTGTGGTTTGGGGACCCTACAGTGCCAGGGATCAAGCCGTGATCCACCTCTTTGAACTCTCTCTGGATTTTGCAGTTAGTTTTGTTGTTTCTTGCCAGTTTGCTTCTTTGGTAATTACATTTATGTGGGAATAAAATTGCTTGATGTTTATCTTTCACTTCCTTACTTATTTAGTATAGTCTGTCACCTAACGTTCCCTCCATTTTATTCCAAGGCATATTTTTTTTTATCATTTTTTGTTGACTCTGTGCTCAGAGATCACTCCTGGTGGTACTCAGGGGTGCTGGGGATCATATGGGGTGCTGGGGATCAAACCCGGGTCAGCCATGTGCAAGACAAGTGCCCTATCTGTACTATCAGTACAGTTCCTGTTTTCATCTTTTAATGGTAAAATAGTGCTATGTTGAATATACATATAAACCACAACTTCTGTTTCTAGTCACCTGTTAAGGCATTTAGGCTTAATGCATAGTGTGCCTATGAACATAAGGGTGCAAAAACTTTTTGAATTAAGAGGTTTTTTTTATAGATTTTGGAATGTCTGGGAGTGTATTATTTCTCAGACATGCAGTATTTCTACTTTTAAGGTAAATAGCACAAGTATAGAACACATTAAATAACATATATTTTCATAACTAAATTCATAAAAGAAGGTGGCAGAAAACCTATCAGAAACCTGTTTTTTTTAAAGCTTAAATTTTTATGTTGTTTATTTTGCATATGACTATGGCAAGGTAAAGTGAGGTATAAAAATTTCTGACAGAATTCAGCAAAGGTAGCAGCTGTTTTATAATGACATTGTATGTCTTACTGTTTATAAATCCACCAATGCCTTTGATTCTTGTGGATAGCATTTGATTGCACAGGACAAATTATTACAGTGATGATGACCTGAGGGTAAACCATATGATTCCTCTCTGGTTAGCTGCTAGGGAAGTATTGGTACTTAGATTTGAAACCAATTTTTATTTTTCATTTCTTGGTGTTTTTTTTTTTCCTGGAGGGGCGGGGGGGCAAGTGGTGTTCAACAGGCCTGGGGGTCCCTTCCTTCTGTGGTTTTTGGCCAGTCAGCCATAATTGCTCTACACAAGGGTCTGGATACCAGCAATACTCAGGGTTGTCAGGACTTTTCCTGGTGATGCTCCAGACACCATTTGGCACTGAGGAGTGAACTGAAGTTGGTTGTATATAAGGTTTGTGCCTTAACTCCTATACTCTTCTCTGCAGCCCTTGATATCTTTCATTTCAGTCTTAGGGGCTCTTCATGTTACTTTAGCCTGGGAATTTGTATGTATTGAGAGCCCTAGGTTCCATGAATTTTCATGGCAGTTTTGTCATCTGTAAAAGGTAAAGGCCCTCCCGTTGATCGTCGATTTGCTCGAGCGGGCCCAGTAACGTCTCCATTGGAGACTTTTTGTTGTTACTGTGTCTGGCATATCGAATACTCTCGGTAGCTTGCCGGGCTCTCCGAGAGGGGCGGAGGAATCGAACTCGGGTCGGCCATGTTGGCCGCGTGTAAGGCGAACGCCCTACCCGCTGTGCTATCGCTCCAGCTCCTTGTCATCTGTACTTTTCTGATATTTAAAATTGAGATACCTTAAGGGTTATTGTAAGCAGCGAATGAGTTAGTATAGTTAGCGCTTCATGCTGTGTTTGACAGAGGACAATTAATAAATGGAGCTGTTATGATTTCTCCTTTTTGCCCTTTTTATTGGGTCCTATTTGATCCAGTGCATCATAGCCTGATAGTTTCGTGTCATACATTATCAGGATCTTTTGTACTATTTTATAATTATTAATTAATCAGTAAAGTTAAAGGTCCTCCCATTGATCGTCGATTTGCTCGAGCGGGCCCAGTAACGTCTCCACTGGAGACTTTGTTGTTACTGTGTCTGGCATATCGAATAGTACAGCTGGTAGGGTGTTCGCCTTACAAGCGGCCAACATGGCCGACCCGAGTTCGATTCCTCTGCCCCTCTCGGAGAGCCCGGCAAGCTACCGAGAGTATTCGATATGGCAGACACAGTAACAACAAAGTCTCCAATGGAGACGTTACTGGGCCCGCTCGAGCAAATCGACGATCAACGGGAGGGTTCGAGCTCGAGCAATTAATCAGTAGTGCAAAGTACAAGCCCACTGTCAGGTTGTTTACATTAAAATTTAAAAAAGACATTCTCTTTTGTAATATCCTGCTGATAAGGTGCTATTATTGGTAGAAAGATGAAGTTTTTGATGGAAAAAGCGTCTTTCTTAATTCTACTTCTAGTATTTCTTCTCAATTTTAAAATTGAGGGTCTAACTATATTTCTGAAAGAAAATTTGCCTTACCTTTGAGTTAATTATGAACATATAATTTGTATAGGGTATGATTAAAAAAACAAAGCAGAACCCGTCTCTTAGAGTCACTTAAAACTAATCTAATTGATGATGGAGGTTACCCAGTTAGATTTACACTACCCTCTTTTTCTTTTTTCTTTGACAATGACATCTTCTCCTTAACTAAATAAATGCAGCTTTAACTTATCAAAAGTTTTCAAGTTATCAGTTCACTCACTTTTTTTACCACCTTCCCTTTCCCCTGCAAAAACTGAATGACCCAACCTTTTTTCTTTCTATGTCTAACTCTTGCAATTTTCTTTATTCTTTCCAGTTTATCAGTTTTCAAAACCTTGTTCCTTAAGTTTGGTCTTCTTCTTTATTTCTGGTTTCTTCCATTACTTTCCCAAACATAAAATGTATTCCAGTTTCCTTTAAGAAAAAATATGAATAATATTCACCAGTGTTTTTCTATCGCCCTCAATTCTTCTATTAGTAAATTCCATTAAATTTTACTGGGTTCTAAATATATTTCAAGGTAGCACAGAAAGCCACCCGCTTGGAGCAGAAAAGCAAATGGATTATGTGTTAAACCATGCCAGCATGCCTGCCCGGAGGGGAAAGGGTGTTGCTCCATTCGCCCAATCCTCTCTGGAAAGAAAGATGGCGGCCGCACGGGAACCTTGTGGACAGCAGGTTTGAGCCGGGGATGGCGGGGCGGCAGGGACCTCATGGGAAGGGGGGCGTTCTGGGCAGTCCTTCACGCCTGACCGAGGTCACTAGCTGCCCCCCACGAGCGGCTCTCTGGCACGGCCACGGCTCCAGAGCATAGAAACCAATCTCTTAACTATCTAACTTTTAATAGAAATACTTCCAGGGTTAATAAGTAAAATAGCAGAAATCCAAAACCGCGCGGCCACTATTCGACATCATTTTATTCTTAAACCCAGCTGTAGAAAGCAAATCATTTCACAATGCTGTTTCAGCATATCTGATTGGGCGGGGGGTCGTAAACTCTAAACAATAATTGTGCATCTTCTATCGAAACAATGTATCTAGTCAAAGTAGATAGAGTATTAACTAGAACTCATCTGCCTCACAGGAATTGGCAGGGGTGGGAGGTGGGGTTCTATTGGGGTTCGCAGTTAAAAGTAAGTATCGGTAAAGGGAAATGTGTTTGATATTTACATGACTGAGACCTAAACCCGAAAGCTCTGTAACTTTTCCCACGGTGATTCAATAAAGAAATAAACTATTAAAATATATATATATATATATTTCAAGGAATGCAGAATTAAACAGGTGTTTCCCCTGCCCCCAAGGTAATGGCAGTTTTGGCTGTAGTGTGTTAAAAAAAAAAAGCTTCTATTTTGAGTTAATGCAATATATTCTTTCTACATAAAAACATTTCATCACTTAAATTGTTTTCCAGGGAAGATAGCTCCTAGGACTGGAGCACATGCTTTGTATCAGGAACCTCAAGTTTGATTTTCTGTGCCACATGGTCCTTCAAGCACTGCTGGGAACAATCCCTGAACAGCAAGCTGAGTGTGGCACCTGAGCGATTGGTGGGTGTGGTTCCCCTCCACCCGCCAAAAAAAAGAACAAAAACAATTTTATGTTTTTCTATGTCTGGTTGAGGCGGTCATTTAGAGAGCATAATTTGATTGAGATGAATTGGATGTGTAGATACATAATATTTTAGGATTTGTTTTATTAATCTCTACC